TGAATTACTCAACAAGTTACAAATATGGGTCATAATGCTGCAAATGACTTGCACTTGATGATATGACTCATTATTGTGAATCATAATCCTTTTACACCATAAACAAACAGAGATATACATTTTGAAGTTTTACATTATATTTTTAGACAGAAGAGAAGAGAATCTATCAATATTGCCAAATTTGATCTTTGCCTATCAAAATTGACCATGTTTTTGTATTGAAGTGAGGATCTTGTGTTACTTGTCAGTAACTCAGATGGTTTTGTCTTTTTATGGGTGGGTGATGGAGGGCGACTTGCAGCCAATATCTATCACAAGACGTAATTACAAATGTCTTGTGTTTTGTTTCTTTTCAACCTTGATGGTAAAACAGTTCCACTACAACTTTGGTGTCTATTTATCCCGTACAGTACTTTTTTACACTGATCCTCGGAGTGTAATTTCCTTGTAGTACCGCACGTTATAAGTAATTCATGTTTGTTCATTTCATTTGTGATATATTTGACACATAGAAGTCCGCGCCAAAATAGACATTATTGATTGAGGGTCCTGTACAGCGACATTAACACCGGTCCTGATTGGGGTTGATCGGGGATTCCAGGAACTCGGCAGTAACACCGATCACCAACGTCAGCCTCTCAAAAACACACGAGGTTAACCTGCCATATATAGCACTCTTCACACTTATATAGCTGTGTGCCTATTTGTAGATCACCGCTTACACAATGATAGTTAGCCGGTTATATATGGTGTTCAGTCATTCCTACAGTCTAAATAATCAAAACACTTAAAGGTACAGGTTTAAGACTTCCAGGAGGAGATATGTAACTTTAGAATGGGGATTGATTTTAGCATGTACATATGTATTACCATTCGAATGAAATGCATCTGAAAAAGCTCACCTAGCCTGAAGGGCCAAGTGGTCTTATGCAGTAGCATGGCATCTGTCATGTTTGTCCCTAAATATATTCTTATAACATTTTCACCTAATTTTCTGAGCCAAAAGATTTCAAATTTTACATAAATGTAAGGTGTGACAATGCAGGGGGTTGAGGGGCGTGGCTTAAAAGATGAAAATGGGATTAATATATTTTCAAAAAATGGTTGTCTTGAACCGGGCAAATGGTAACAAGACTTGACAGGAATAAAGATCTAATGCCCCAGAACAGCTAGGTGCTGATATTTCGTAGGTTGATTCAAAATGTCCACCATGTATTCTAGTGGTGTACCGATAACCGGAAACATCAATTAAACCGAGCTTGACATGAGGTCGATTCGATAATCGATTTAGCACATGAAAGATCTAGTTTGAAACTTTGTCATGAAGAAGATCGTTTTTGTAGGTTTGACATGAAGAACTGAACTTCTTAAAGATACCTATGGTTGCTTTTCAAGTTTAATCCAAAATGAAACGTCCCTTTCACCCGTTCTTGTTGATTCTCGCTTGAATCATGCCATCATTCAAGCATGGTAGCTATAACGTCATTACGTAATCAAGGTCAGTGCGGTGTTTTGTAGGTATGGCTAAATTTATAACTGACAAAATCCAGAAGTACGGCAAATGACGGCCACCGGAATGAAAACACTTTCTTTTTTTATTTCAACCGATAATCGAATACCGATCAATCTTGAATGTCCGATAATCGATCTTCAAAATCAGACCGATTCCCAGCACTAATGTATTCCCAGCAAATCGATGTAAACATTGTGCAAATGTTTCTGTCATTACCATTACCAAGGGTTGTCATGCATGTAAATTCTCATTGTCAAGAAAAAATATGTGGCAGCCACCATCGTCATAAGGATCCCCGTACCACAGCGAAAACTTGTTACTAGGCATTGCAAACTGTTTTTCAGGCATGACTGTAGCCTTGAAAATCATTTCTGTAAAGAAAACCATACCCTGCGGGACGTTTATGAGAAATTATAAAGTTGAATGAAATAAATGATAATTAACAACAGTGTTCTGAGTGTAAAAAAAATCAGTGGGGCTAGACCAGGAATTGATCCATGGATTTTATATTGTTATACTATCTCTCTATATCTCTGTATTGAGCTTCTTCGGGTGATTGTTACAAAAATGTCTTAGCCCAATTGTGCTACAGTTGTAACCAAACGGAAGTTAAGGGGAGGTCACTGTATATAGGGAAAATCACAGTGTAGTGGGACAGGAATCATTAAGGGGAGGTCACTGTATATAGGGAAAATCACAGTTTAGTGGGACAGGAATCCTTAAGGGGAGGTTACTGTATATAGGGAAAATCACAGTGAAATGGGACAGGAATCATTAAGGTGAGGTCACTGTTTATAGGGAAAATCACAGTGTAGTGGGACAGGAATCATTAAGGGGAGGTCACTGTATATAGGGAAAGTCAAAGTGCAGTGGGACAGGAATCCTTAAGGGGAGGTCACTGTATTAAGGGAAAATTACAGTGCAGTGGGACAGGGATCATTAAGGGGAGATAACTGTATACAGGGAAAATCACAGTGCAGAGGGACAGGAATCCTTAAGGGGAGGTCACTGTATATAGGGAAAATCACAGTGTAGTGGGACAGTAATCCTTAAGGGGAGGTTACTGTATATAGGGAAAATCACATTGCAGTGGGGCAGGAATCCTTAAGGGGAGGTCACTGTATATAGGGAAAATCACAGTGTAGTGGGACAGGAATCCTTAAGGGGAGGTTCCTGTATATAGGGAAAATCACAGTGCAGTGGGACAGGGATCATTAAGGGGAGGTTACTGCATATAGGGAAAATCGCATGGCAGTGGGACAGGGATCCTTAAGGGGAGGTCACTGTATATAGGGAAAATCACAGTGCAGAGGGACAGGAATCATAAAGGGGAAGTTACTGTATAGGGAAAATCACAGTGCAGTGGGGCAGGAATCATTAAGGGGAGGTCACTGTATATAGGGAAAATCACAGTGTAGTGGGACAGTAATCCTTAAGGGGAGGTTACTGTATATAGGGAAAATCACAGTGCAGAGGGACAGGAATCATAAAGGGGAAGTTACTGTATAGGGAAAATCACAGTGCAGTGGGGCAGGAATCATTAAGGGGAGGTCACTGTATATAGGGGAAAGCACAGTGCAGTGGGACAGGAATCCTTAAGGGGAGGTTACTGTATATAGGGAAGATCACAGTGCAGTGGGACAGGGATCCTTAAGGGGAGGGCACTGTATATTGGGAAAATCACAGTGCAGTGGGACAGGAATCCTTTAGGGGAGGTTACTGTATATAGGGAAAATCACATGGAAGTGGGACAGGAATCCTTAAGGGGAGGTTACTGTATAAAGGAAAAATCACAGTGCAGTGGGACAGGGATCCTTAAGGGGAGGGCACTGGATATAGGGAAAATCACAGTGCAGTGGGAGAGGGATCCTTAAGGGGAGGTCACTGTATATAGGGAAACTCACATTCCAGTGGGAGAGGGCTCCTTAAGGGGAGGTCACTGTATATAGGGAAACTCACATTCCAGTGGGAGAGGGCTCCTTAAGGGGAGGTCACTGTATATAGGGAAAATCACAGTGCAGTGGGACGGGATCCTTAAGGGGAGGTTACTGTATATAGGGAAAATCACAGTGTAGTGGGACAAGGATCCTTAAGGGGAGGTTACTGTATATAGGGAAAATCACATGGCAGTGGGACAGGAATCCTTAAGGGGAGGTTACTGTATATAGGGAAAATCACAGTGCAGTGGGACAGGAATCCTTAAGGAGAGGTCACTGTATATAGGGAAAATCACAGTGCAGTGCGACAGGGATCCTTAAGGGGAGGTTACTGAAAATAGGGAAAATCACAGTGCAGTGGGACAGGGATCCTTAAGGGGAGGTTACTGTATATAGGGAAAATCACATGGCAGTGGGACAGGAATCCTTAAGGGGAGGTTACTGTATATAGGGAAAATCACAGTGCAGTGGGACAGGAATCCTTAAGGGGAAACATTTGAACTTCTGTCTAGTTCAGATAACAAAAGAAAAACAGGTGAGCCATACAAGCCCAACAGGCCTCTTGCTAAATTGTAGACTGGTTGGTACCAAGCAAGTGTGATGTAACTGTGAAAATGGGATTGTAATTAATATAAATACATGTACCACCTGAATGCTATTTACATCATGTTTTATAGCCTAAGAGAATGCGGCAGGCGTATGCTGAGATGCTAATTAGTATGGTGCTGAGGGGATGACCTGTAGCGTTGACGGTTGTCATACCTGATTACTGGGGAATCAGATCAGTACCATGTTTACAGAGTCATTGACCTTTATAAGACGATCTCATCACAACTCATCCCAGAAAGCTGTGTCCATTTATTGAGGGATAAATAGCACTAACAATGATAATAAATTGCTGATAGCAAAGTGTGACCATTATTCTACCCTGTTTTCTCTAATAGCTGCCCTTCTCTAAATTTGCAACCATCACTAATTTTTTTCTGTGAATAGAAACTATTCTATTATAACTACTGTTGATACAGAAGAAACTCAAGTGGAACTCTCCAGTGGTTTATCTGCAGTGAGACAGGGGTCCTTAATTACAAAAAATTACATCATGACTTATTGCTACAAATATCCATAGCATGCAGAAAAACAATAGTTTTATATTTGGCAGTTATCATAATGAGGTGCTTTGAAAGGATAGTGAAAGAACAACAAATGTAGGGAAAGTCTGTAAGTCGACTTCCGGCACCATTTAATTTTCTCTATAGACCTTGTGCTGCCTACATAATTTGGATATTGCTTTCTAACCCATTCACCTCCAAAGTCACATTGGAACCTTACCATATCAAAGACATGGCAAGTTCAGTTAAAAATTTTAGGGGTGAATGGGTTAATAGGTTAGTGTTATTATGTTTTCAAAATTGTCTGGTCACACTGTTGAAATACAGATGTTAGTCTGTTCACCCTATCTTAAATTATTTTGGATGACATAACAGTTTAAGTTAAGTTCACCTAGGGTTTGCAGGTCAAGTAATGTTTTGTCATTCCTTGTCTACTTGTAGGAAGTGACATCATAGAATGGCTGAGAAGACGGTTCCCCGAGTCTGAGACGGAGGAGATGGGTGTGAAAGAGGCTTTACACCTAGCAAACCTGCTGTGTCAGTACGGCTACATCTACCCTGTAGACCTGAAAACTGTCACGATTAAAGACGACCGGTCTACTGAATACAGATTCCAGGTAGGTCGCTGACCATACTGACGTCATATAGCTGATATTGCATGGATTTTGCAGATCATAAGTTTTGAAATTTAAACATTGACCTTTTAATTATGTATCCTAGCTGGTTCTGTGGGAACAATCATTTGAAAATTTATACAGTCAAATAACATTATCACAAAATTATCATATCTTATTTTCCTGTTAATTTTAAAGTTGATTTTGGTCTATCAATAGTTCGTTACTATGCGTTTTAATTCGGAGAATACTAAGTGCCCCACTGATCTTCATGTTTTTCCATGGTCCCACATTGTCAACATATCATAGTTCAACTACCGGTATATACATATCTATAATTTAAAAACAAATATTGCAATTTCCTTAAAAGTGTCACTTTTGATGACAGACTGTTTTTTTTATAAATTATATTAATATTTCTGTTACAAGTTGCTATATCAACACTACCTAAAGAAATTGCTTTCATATAGCCATGAACGCTTCTTTTCGTGCCTCACATAACGTGAGACCCTGACATGATAAGCAAACATTTAGGTGACATAAAGCTTTCACAAGCACTGGGATACAGACACTTCAGTTCCGCAAATATTAGAGAATACTTATATTTAGGTCAATAATAGCTACTATAGAATGTGGATATACCGGGTATATTGAAATCATTTTTCAAGGTTTATACACTGATGGGTTTCCTGGTAAATATTTATGTAACCTACCGGGATTCATACCACCATGAGCATAAAAAAAAAGATAATCAATTACATTAATAATTGAAACCCTGAAAAAACTCAAAAGATTCAAGTACCAGCGTTTCGCTGTTCAAAGTTGAATCAATTAATGTAAATAGTTTGATGCTGGTTAAAGAATAGCCTTGCATTTCACTTGAATATATAACGAAGCCAAGGATTCATTATATAAATAGATTCTGACCAGAAACCATAGTTGACGGCATTGACATAATGAGGTACTTGAAACATTGGAACAGGAAGTAATTGGCCTAAATTATACACCAGTACAGTCTTTATTGAGTTGTTTTAATGTTCAGTAGTTAACCTAGCAAGCCACGAAATTCCAATATCTTTTAATAACAAATTTACCACAGAGAAGTATTTCCATATTTGATAATTTATTTTCAAATTACGATTTAACCCATCACATGTGTTTAATTTGTTAGTTATAACTATTTAGTATGAAAGTCAGGTTTTAAAATCAATAACATAATCCAGCATTAAAAGCTCACGTCGGATACCGAGAACTTTGAACTTTCATCAGGCTTTTAAAATATCTTTCAGTATGGATGGTAAAGTGTAGGTGTGAAGGCGTGTATTGATTTACTGGCCTTCAAATATATCTACATTTGTGTTAAGTATATTTACTTAAACCTATTTACGTATGAATATTGATTATTTTTGATTTTTCAAATATTTACTTGATAGTGTTACAGTTTCAGCACAGAACTGTTACCAGTGATATGAAGCTGCCATTGAATTTAAAAAATTCCTATAAGTTATGCGATGTAATTGACAAATGGACAAGGCGTGGGTTATTTCATAAAAAATCAGAACAAATTGTACAGATAGGTCTGATTTTGTCACTAGATAAGTATATTTTTTAATGATCATGAGAACATGGGTTCTTGAACTGGTAAATAGATTTCAGATTAGTTGAAGGACAGCAACAAAATAACAATTGAGCTGTTACCGGTACCAGGCATTATGTTTAAAGCTTTATCGTATCGAGTCAGTTAATACATAGAACTCAGTACTGTGTGTCAATTAGTAGTAGTCAGTTAATACTTAGAAAGACATATAACTCAGTTCTTTGTGTCAATTAGTAGTAGCCAGTTAATACTTAGAAAGACATAGAACTTCGTGCCGTGTGTCAATAAGTAGTAGTCAGTTAATACTTAGAAAGACATAGAACTCAGTACTGTGTGTCAATTAGTAGTAGTCAGTTAATACTTAGCAAGACATAGAACTCAGTTCTGTGTGTCAATTAGTAGTAGCCAGTTAATACTTAGAAAGACATAGAACTCAGTTCTGTGTGTCAATAAGTAGTAGCCAGTTAATACTTAGAAAGACATAGAACTTAGTACTGTGTGTCAATAAGTAGTAGTCAGTTAATACTTAGACATAGAACTCAGTACTGTGTGTCAATTAGTAGTAGTCAGTTAATACTTAGAAAGACATAGAACTCAGTACTGTGTGTCAATTAGTAGTAGTCAGTTAATACTTAGAAAGACATAGAACTCAGTACTGTGTGTCAATTAGTAGTAGTCAGTTAATACTTAGAAAGACATAGAACTCAGTACTGTGTGTCAATTAGTAGTAGTCAGTTAATACTTAGAAAGACATAGAACTCAGTACTGTGTGTCAATTAGTAGTAGTCAGTTAATACTTAGAAAGACATAGAACTCAGTACTGTGTGTCAATTAGTAGTAGTCAGTTAATACTTAGAAAGACATAGAACTCAGTACTGTGTGTCAATTAGTAGTAGTCAGTTAATACTTAGAAAGACATAGAACTCAGTACTGTGTGTCAATTAGTAGTAGTCAGTTAATACTTAGAAAGACATAGAACTCAGTACTGTGTGTCAATTAGTAGTAGTCAGTTAATACTTAGAAAGACATAGAACTCAGTACTGTGTGTCAATTAGTAGTAGTCAGTTAATACTTAGAAAGACATAGAACTCAGTACTGTGTGTCAATTAGTAGTAGTCAGTTAATACTTAGAAAGACATAGAACTCAGTACTGTGTGTCAATTAGTAGTAGTCAGTTAATACTTAGAAAGACATAGAACTCAGTACTGTGTGTCAATTAGTAGTAGTCAGTTAATACTTAGAAAGACATAGAACTCAGTACTGTGTGTCAATTAGTAGTAGTCAGTTAATACTTAGAAAGACATAGAACTCAGTACTGTGTGTCAATTAGTAGTAGTCAGTTAATACTTAGAAAGACATAGAACTCAGTACTGTGTGTCAATTAGTAGTAGTCAGTTAATACTTAGAAAGACATAGAACTCAGTACTGTGTGTCAATTAGTAGTAGTCAGTTAATACTTAGAAAGACATAGAACTCAGTACTGTGTGTCAATTAGTAGTAGTCAGTTAATACTTAGAAAGACATAGAACTCAGTACTGTGTGTCAATTAGTAGTAGTCAGTTAATACTTAGAAAGACATAGAACTCAGTACTGTGTGTCAATTAGTAGTAGTCAGTTAATACTTAGAAAGACATAGAACTCAGTACTGTGTGTCAATTAGTAGTAGTCAGTTAATACTTAGAAAGACATAGAACTCAGTACTGTGTGTCAATTAGTAGTAGTCAGTTAATACTTAGAAAGACATAGAACTCAGTACTGTGTGTCAATTAGTAGTAGTCAGTTAATACTTAGAAAGACATAGAACTCAGTACTGTGTGTCAATTAGTAGTAGTCAGTTAATACTTAGAAAGACATAGAACTCAGTACTGTGTGTCAATTAGTAGTAGTCAGTTAATACTTAGAAAGACATAGAACTCAGTACTGTGTGTCAATTAGTAGTAGTCAGTTAATACTTAGAAAGACATAGAACTCAGTACTGTGTGTCAATTAGTAGTAGTCAGTTAATACTTAGAAAGACATAGAACTCAGTACTGTGTGTCAATTAGTAGTAGTCAGTTAATACTTAGAAAGACATAGAACTCAGTACTGTGTGTCAATTAGTAGTAGTCAGTTAATACTTAGAAAGACATAGAACTCAGTACTGTGTGTCAATTAGTAGTAGTCAGTTAATACTTAGAAAGACATAGAACTCAGTACTGTGTGTCAATTAGTAGTAGTCAGTTAATACTTAGAAAGACATAGAACTCAGTACTGTGTGTCAATTAGTAGTAGTCAGTTAATACTTAGAAAGACATAGAACTCAGTACTGTGTGTCAATTAGTAGTAGTCAGTTAATACTTAGAAAGACATAGAACTCAGTACTGTGTGTCAATTAGTAGTAGTCAGTTAATACTTAGAAAGACATAGAACTCAGTACTGTGTGTCAATTAGTAGTAGTCAGTTAATACTTAGAAAGACATAGAACTCAGTACTGTGTGTCAATTAGTAGTAGTCAGTTAATACTTAGAAAGACATAGAACTCAGTACTGTGTGTCAATTAGTAGTAGTCAGTTAATACTTAGAAAGACATAGAACTCAGTACTGTGTGTCAATTAGTAGTAGTCAGTTAATACTTAGAAAGACATAGAACTCAGTACTGTGTGTCAATTAGTAGTAGTCAGTTAATACTTAGAAAGACATAGAACTCAGTACTGTGTGTCAATTAGTAGTAGTCAGTTAATACTTAGAAAGACATAGAACTCAGTACTGTGTGTCAATTAGTAGTAGTCAGTTAATACTTAGAAAGACATAGAACTCAGTACTGTGTGTCAATTAGTAGTAGTCAGTTAATACTTAGAAAGACATAGAACTCAGTACTGTGTGTCAATTAGTAGTAGTCAGTTAATACTTAGAAAGACATAGAACTCAGTACTGTGTGTCAATTAGTAGTAGTCAGTTAATACTTAGAAAGACATAGAACTCAGTACTGTGTGTCAATTAGTAGTAGTCAGTTAATACTTAGAAAGACATAGAACTCAGTACTGTGTGTCAATTAGTAGTAGTCAGTTAATACTTAGAAAGACATAGAACTCAGTACTGTGTGTCAATTAGTAGTAGTCAGTTAATACTTAGAAAGACATAGAACTCAGTACTGTGTGTCAATTAGTAGTAGTCAGTTAATACTTAGAAAGACATAGAACTCAGTACTGTGTGTCAATTAGTAGTAGTCAGTTAATACTTAGAAAGACATAGAACTCAGTACTGTGTGTCAATTAGTAGTAGTCAGTTAATACTTAGAAAGACATAGAACTCAGTACTGTGTGTCAATTAGTAGTAGTCAGTTAATACTTAGAAAGACATAGAACTCAGTACTGTGTGTCAATTAGTAGTAGTCAGTTAATACTTAGAAAGACATAGAACTCAGTACTGTGTGTCAATTAGTAGTAGTCAGTTAATACTTAGAAAGACATAGAACTCAGTACTGTGTGTCAATTAGTAGTAGTCAGTTAATACTTAGAAAGACATAGAACTCAGTACTGTGTGTCAATTAGTAGTAGTCAGTTAATACTTAGAAAGACATAGAACTCAGTACTGTGTGTCAATTAGTAGTAGTCAGTTAATACTTAGAAAGACATAGAACTCAGTACTGTGTGTCAATTAGTAGTAGTCAGTTAATACTTAGAAAGACATAGAACTCAGTACTGTGTGTCAATTAGTAGTAGTCAGTTAATACTTAGAAAGACATAGAACTCAGTACTGTGTGTCAATTAGTAGTAGTCAGTTAATACTTAGAAAGACATAGAACTCAGTACTGTGTGTCAATTAGTAGTAGTCAGTTAATACTTAGAAAGACATAGAACTCAGTACTGTGTGTCAATTAGTAGTAGTCAGTTAATACTTAGAAAGACATAGAACTCAGTACTGTGTGTCAATTAGTAGTAGTCAGTTAATACTTAGAAAGACATAGAACTCAGTACTGTGTGTCAATTAGTAGTAGTCAGTTAATACTTAGAAAGACATAGAACTCAGTACTGTGTGTCAATTAGTAGTAGTCAGTTAATACTTAGAAAGACATAGAACTCAGTACTGTGTGTCAATTAGTAGTAGTCAGTTAATACTTAGAAAGACATAGAACTCAGTACTGTGTGTCAATTAGTAGTAGTCAGTTAATACTTAGACATAGAACTCAGTTCTGTGTGTCAATTAGTAGTAGTCAGTTAATACTTAGACATAGAACTCTGTACTGTGTGTCAATTAGTAGTAGCATCAAAAAAGACAAATGCTCATTAGATAAATTTCCTTAAAATTACAATATCATTATTGAATGTTCATTATATATGAGTTTTCTGAAAAATGTTGATCTGGTTAAGATAAACAAGTTAAGGAAGGAAAGTGTCATTCAGTAATTGTTGGTCTGCTAATTATACTGAAATTACTGTTGGCCTCGCAGGGTATGGGCTATTATAATACAGCTGTGCCAGTAGTCATCTGTGTACTGTGTTGGTCTTCTACACAATGGATGATCAGCTGTTATGATACTAACGCAGGCAATCATACATATTGTATACAAAAACACTTTTAGGATTGTACATTTAATGTATCGATGAATAGTGACTGGACTGAGACAATTACAAGTGGGACAATACTACCTTTGTACACTTTATAGCTACTGCAAAGTATATAGTTTTTTCAAACCTGAGGTACCAGAACTTGATGACTTTTAGGGAGAAATTTGTCAGTGGATGGGTGGTATTTTCTGTAAATTGACGCATTTATCTTTACCCTACTTCTCTGAAACTGCTGCATTGATTTTAACGAAATGCATGTGTTTAGAGTACCATGTTGTTTGAGCACCTTTTGATTCTCCCATAATAGGCACCATCTTGTCTTTCTGCGTGTCAACATTCGGTTTATTTGCAGGCTCACAACTTACGTTTTGACCTAACTTTTACGAAGTTTCACACAAGCGTTCATAAAATCTACCTTCAGGGACCACTCAGTAGTCATTGTTCTAAGATTATGTCACAGCTACAGGATCTATACTTGGTCCTGTCCAGTCATCGTTGACAAAACCTTCCAACCAAATAGATCATGTTAGATTTTTGCCTAAAACAAGCCTCAGGAATCATCGAAAATGTTTATAATATTTAAGTAAACATCTGTCCATATTATATGGGGGTGCCTGCTACAGTACCCCAGGGGTTTAGAATATGAAAAAAATAAGTTTGTCATAATTGTTTTTTTTTCATTCTTTCAATTCATAATTCATGAAATTTATAAAACAAAATATTATAAAAATATATAAGCAACCAACTTAATCTCTTAGAACAATATACCACTTTATAAATGGGGAATTCAAAATGAAAATGGGACAAGGAGACCTTCAGCTGCAATGGTCAAAATAATATGTATGTTTGGGGGTCAGCGGGTTAGGGCAATAATGTGACTAATTAATTAATGTAGCCCAAGAGTATCCGCACTCTTAAAGAGGTCAAATATGGTTTGTAGTGTATATATTACAGGTACTAATTGTCATGGTTTATACCTATCGTGTCTGTGTTTGTATGTCCAGCACCCGTAGGTTTGTAGTGTATATATTACAGGTACTAATTGTCATGTTTTATACCTATCGTGTCTGTGTTTGTATGTCCAGCACCCATAGGTTTGTAGTGTATATATTACAGGTACTAATTGTCATGGTTTATACCTATCGTGTCTGTTTTTGTATGTCCAGCACCCCTAGGTTTGTAGTGTATAGATTACAGGTACTAATTGTCATGGCTTATACCTATCGTGTCTGTTTTTGTATGTCCAGCACCCGTAGGATTGTAGTGTATATATTATAGGTACTAATTGTCATGGCTTATACCTATCGTGTCTGTGTTTGTATGTCCAGCACCTGTAGGTTGTTGTTGTGAGCTGCAGGCCTACATTTGACTGGTTCCTGCTTTGGTCCTTAGCCATATATTCCTTTTAGTATGATTGGATTTTAACTGGAGTTGGGCATTGGTGAAGGGTAGCTATAACTATGTCAACTTTGGTGCATGAATGTGTTCAGCGGACATTTAATGCGGTTACATGCACTTTCTCTGTTTTGATTGGATGATTGTTTCCGGACAATAATGTTTCAAAACTGAATGGCTATGCCATCAACTTGACAAGTAGCATATATCACACCAATACTCGTTTGCTTTTTAGTTTTTGAATTTCGATTTGCTTTCAGTTTGTTTGGTGTCAGATTTTTTTACCCATTGTAAATCCAGATTGTCAATTTCCTATTATATGTAATTTATGACAATCGAAAATTTAATAAGCATTTTTTTTTTTTACAAATGAATAAATAGCAATTATATAATTTTGCATACAATTTTTTTTATCTTCGAAATGAAGCTTTAACCCTTTCACCACTGTAGACCAAAATGGACTCATCCAGATAAATGCATTGTAGACTCTACTAAAGTTACATAGGGGTGAAAGGGTTAAGGGATGCCTAAGATTGAAAGAAATCTCAAAAATGTTGTATATATGTAATCATTCAAACTTGACATGACATTAAAATCAAGGCTAATTTTCCTCAGTGAGATGTAGGAAGGACAGGAGCCATACATTTTTTTACAAGTCATTTTCTATGGAATTTTAAAAAAAACATAAAAATGAAAAAAATGTTTTATTTTCCATTGCAGACTCCATTTTATTGGCCATTTTGCAAGCAGAAAACTGCAGACAGTTTGGAATATGGTGAGAAACCTATTGTTTTCTAAATCTTACCTCTTATAAGTATTTTTATCAACAATTTCAAAGTGTTTCTGTTGTTGTATTTGGTATACCTTTTATTGGAGAAATTTGTTTTACAAGCATTTTGTATTTCACACTGATACTGAAAAAAGAGATCCATCCCAATATGGAAAATATAGAAACAGAAAAGTTTAAAAAAACACCCACATGTTGGCATTGGCTCTATCTTCCTGTTTATATACACCTTTAACTCAGTCACCCCTGAAATTTCAAAATGAACTATTCCAACCTTTGAATTGGAAGGGTTTAAATGTGTCTTCAGGGGTGAATGAGTTAAATGACAATAACTTCAGGTAGATTAAAATAAAGGTCACAATAAATATGTTGAATTACAGAAAATATATACAAATCACAATGTGGGTTTTCTCTGGGTACTCCGGTTTCCGCCCACATTCAGCCCCCCCCCATCAATCGGGCTAACAAGAGTGATGCATATAGCTTGTTTCATAATTGTTGTAAAATAAATAAAATTTATATACGATTTTCAATGTACCACTTAAATTACTGCAATTTGTTTACAAATGTCAATTTGACATTTAAATTATAGCAAAATATGTACAAATCTCACTTATATTTAATTCCATTGACATATATATTATAAGTCTCCATGTAACCTATATACCTTACAGCAATCTACTTACAAAAGAGGAGTATGCGCAACAAGAACAAACACGAACTGGAGCCACATGAAAAGGTGAGCTTTTGTCCTGTACCAAATATGCTATACGAAGTAGTAACGTGTGAAGGGTGAAAGTAATACTGCACTGAAATGGATTATACTAGGGAATGGCAAAAACTTGACTGGGCTAAAGTTCCCCGTTATACAGTATAATTCCTTTCACTAAGTTAGTGGATGTAAGTATAGCAGTACTGGAATCAGGCACTGATATCTACCTTTTTGATCAGTTTCTATGTGACTGCATGCCATTTCTCAATAAATTTATTGTATAGAACAGTTTACGGTTTGATATTTTATGTTATGCTTTTATCAGGAAGGTTTAATTATAAATACCTATTCAACATTTTAAAATTTTGCGATGCAGTTTCTTTCCAAATGAAAATGTTTCAGTTTATCAAGTTTTCTGTCACTGTTATGTACCGTCGCTATAGTATTCCCTGTCTTGAAATCCTGGTGAGCAGGACGTTGTTTTCCCCTTCCTGGTAGTGGTATAGAAAAAAGAACTTTTGACCTATCATATTTGAGTATTTGATTTGAAAACATGGAATAATTGACTATATTTTTGTATTACAGGAGGCATATGAGAAGTTGTTGAAATTTTTCTGTGATAGGAAAGATTTCATTAAATCTCAAGCAGAAGAACAAGTCAAGTGAGTATTATGTAATTCGTTGTATCATCACACTCTCCGTACACCCATCACAGTTTTAACGTGACCCACATAAAGTAATTGCGTATCGGCCTATTTCATAAGCACGTTTTGTACATTAACTTAAAGGAATACAGTTGTTTTATATTTAGCGACTATTTAGGGAATAGTTTTCTAATTTGGATCAGCTGATGAGGTGACAATTCCTGTTGAACCGATAGATAACAAAGCCACATATGGTACTCTTCCTAGCCTGTTATTACCTCATAACCTGACCAAAATAGAAATTATTTTAACGTGTCATAAGTTCAATAAGAAAATGCCTGCCTGAAATTTACATAAACTTTTGTTAACTCCGCCCACATCTGCTGTTGATGATGTCAAACAATTTTGTCACCTTCGAGGAAAATTTGCATACAGAACCCCTTGCCCACATGCATCGATGTTGACTTCATGTAAACTTGTTAAATGATATTGTAAGGTTATGAGATAATTACTTCAATTGACCAGAACAAGGGTTATTGAGTGAATGTCAGTGTAGACAGCGAATATCATATTTTAACAATTCAAAACTAGCCCCCCCAAAAAAAAAGGTTTTTGCAGTTTTGTTAATGATATTCATTATTGTGTGTTGTTATTGAGTTCGTTTTTATCGACAGGGTTCAATTAAGTTACTGCAAAATCAGTTATTTTCATGGGACCCAAATTTCGTGGTTTCTTGATAAAACACCATTTTGTGGGTACATGAATTCATGGATTACGAGTACCCACTCCAATGGAGAAGAGCTTTAACTGATCATTCACCCCTGAAGACACATTTGAACTCTTCCAATTCAAAAGATGGAATAGTTCATTATGAAATAATGGCAGGCACCAACCCTGTTCCCAGGACATTTACTTTGTAGTTGGTAAAATTTATAAAAGATGTAAAAATACCTTGAGACTTTCATCATTTTAATTATGTTATTTCCATTTCATTCTATTAGTATTCTGAAATGAAATATTATTTACAACTATGTACCTGGATAGTAAAAACCTGTCAATTAAAAAGAGAGAATTTCAATGGCAGAAAGAGCCCAGATTTAAATATCACAGTGGTAAAATGTTGGCCAATGGCAGTCTTATAATCTCTGACTGAAAAGGGATCATATCAATTGTATCGAAGGGTGTGGATTAAAAGTATATTGGATTAGAATTAAGGGGCCATTAGGAACTTTTGTCTCACAGAGAAATTTTGTCTTTGACAGGGAACTGAAGAAGAAACAGCGTCAAGACAAGATGTTAGGGGACCAACAGGAAAGAGCATTCTGGAGGATACACCGGCCTCCGGTAAATAAAGTATTTGTTTTCTACTCTTTACTATGAAATACATAATTTCCATACGTATCACAGTATGAATGCCTTTTGAAATGACCAGGTAATTGACACCAGCTGACAAATTCACACATTTAAACAACACCAAACCCTTTGTCAAACAAAATGTCGACATTATAGAGAAGTTTGGCAATACATAAAAGGAATTGTAAAAAAAAAGGGGGGAAAAAGGAAATTTGTTAGGGTTTAGTAAGGCAGGAAATGAAATAACCAACATTATCATATCAAGTCGTTTTTTGCTTTTCATTTTTGGGGAGGAGGGGCTGGGTCAGTCAGGAAGCGCAGTAGATAATGCCCTTGCCTATCACCAATACAGTTAGGGTTTGAATCCCCAGTCGGACATGCAAAGGTTTTTTCACTTGCCTGACCACATAGGTTTTTTATAGGTACTTCAGCTTCTTCCTAAATTAAGACCCCCTGTGCGCTTCCCTCAGGGCCAACAAGAATTAACTGAAAAAAATTGCTTTATAATTATTTTTAAAAAGGAAAGTTGAAATATATATTCATATAGTTTCACACTATACTATGCCAAACTTACATTCTATTTCTGCAATTTTAAATTTTCAGAACTAAAATAAAATACAGTTATAGTTAGTGACTGTACAAATATGAGATATACTGGTGAAGATATAGGACTCCTACAGATAAAGTGCTACACTTTACACAGCTGCTGGCTGTAGGACAGATGTGCCTACACTGTCCGGGTCCCAGTGACTGTTACAGTAGTCATCCTCTGTGTGACTGTTACAGTAGTCATCCTCTGTGTGACTGTCACTGTAGTCATCCTCTGTGTGGCTGTCACAGTATTCATCCTCTGTGTGACTTTCACAGTAGTCATCCTCTGGGTGACTGTTACAGTAGTCATCCACTGTGTGACTGTCACAGTAGTTATCCTCTGTGTGACTGTAACAGTAGTCATCCTCTGGGTGACTGTCACAGTAGTCCTCCTCTGTGTGACTTTCACAGTAGTCATCCTCTGGGTGACTGTTACAGTAGTCATCCTCTGAGTGACTGTTACAGTAGTCATCCTCTGTGTGACTGTCACAGTGACCGCTTTGTTATATCAAAATCTGCTGTCCAAAATCAATGAAATCGGATATATTTTGTAAATAAATATTTGATAGAGGACCTCAGATACTATCTGACTTCTACTTTAGAGGTCACAATGGGTATTTTTTTAATGGCAGGTCATAACTGATTTTTATGAATGGAAAATTCTTCTAAGCTAGTTAATGTTCTGAATATTTATCATTATTGTTTTTCTTGTTTCTTTGTTGTTTTTTCTCTCATTCTCTGGTAATTGGCATTCCCCCTGCCCTGGATTCCAATAGAAGGAATTTTCAGTATAAAACATTGTGGTTCTATTATACTTAATGTTGTAGTAAACCAGAATTAGGAAATCTGATTCTTGTTTTGAATTTACTTATTGCATTGAATTTTATATCTTGACCGCTATATTGATAAAAAGTTTCAAAATACTACTGCTGTTTGGTATCAAACTACTATTCAGCAGCTATTTAGTATCTAACTATACCATTTAGCTGCTATTTAGTAACAAACTACTATTCAGCAGCTATTTAGTATCAAACTATACCTTTTAGCTGCTATTTAATAACAAACTACTATTCAGCAGCCATTTAGTATCAAACTATACCTTTTAGCAGCTATTTAATAACAAACTACTATTCAGCAGCTATTAAGTATCAAACTAATACCTTTTAGCTGCTATTTAGTAACAAACTGCTATTCAGCAGCTATTTAGTATCTGACTGTACTATTTAGCTGCTATTTAGTAACATACTACTATTCAGCAGCTATTTAGTATCAAACTATACCTTTTAGCTGCTATTTAATAACAAACTACTATTCAGCAGCCATTTAGTATCAAACTATACCTTTTAGCAGCTATTTAATAACAAACTACTATTCAGCAGCTATTAAGTATCAAACTAATACCTTTTAGCTGCTATTTAGTAACAAACTGCTATTCAGCAGCTATTTAGTATCTGACTGTACTATTTAGCTGCTATTTAGTAACATACTACTATTCAGCAGCTATTTAGTATCAAACTATACCTTTTAGCTGCTATTTAATAACAAACTACTATTCAGCAGCCATTTAGTATCAAACTATACCTTTTAGCAGCTATTTAATAACAAACTACTATTCAGCAGCTATTAAGTATCAAACTAATACCTTTTAGCTGCTATTTAGTAACAAACTGCTATTCAGCAGCTATTTAGTATCTGACTGTACTATTTAGCTGCTATTTAGTAACAAACTACTATTCAGCAGCTATTTAGTATCAAACTATACCTTTTAGCTGCTATTTAATAACAAACTACTATTCAGCAGCCATTTAGTATCAAACTATACCTTTTAGCAGCTATTTAATAACAAACTACTATTCAGCAGCTATTAAGTATCAAACTAATACCTTTTAGCTGCTACAATTAATGTATTTAGTAACAAACTACTATTCAGCAGCTATTTAGTATCAAACTATACCTTTTAGCTGCTATTTAGTAACAAACCACTATTCAGCAGCCATTTAGTATCTGACTGTACTATTTAGCTGCTATTTAGTAACATACTACTATTCAGCAGCTAATTAGTATCATTCTAATACCTTTTAGCTGCTATTTAGTAACAAACTACTATTCAGCAGCTATTTAGTATCAAACTATACCTTTTAACAGCTATTTAGTATATAACTGTACTATTTAGCTGCTATTTAGTAACACACTACTATTCAGCAGCCATTTAGTATCTAACTGTATTATTTAGCTGCTATTTAGTAACAAACTACTATTCAGCAGCTATTTAGTAACAAACTACTATTCAGCAGCCATTTAGTATCTGACTGTACTATTTAGCTGCTATTTAGTAACATGCTACTATTCAGCAGCTAATTAGTATCATTCTAATACCTTTTAGCTGCTATTAAGTAACAAGCTACTATTCAGCAGCTATTTAATAACAAACTACTATTCAGCAGCCATTTAGTATCAAACTATACCTTTTAGCTGCTATTTAGTAACACACTACTATTCAGCAGCCATTTAGTATCAAACTATACCTTTTAGCTGCTATTTAGTAACATACTACTATTCAGCAGCTAATTAGTATCATTCTAATACCTTTTAGCTGCTACAATTAATGTATTTAGTAACAAACTACTATTCAGCAGCTATTTAGTATCTAACTGTACTATTTAGCTATTTAGTAGCACATTACTGGCCGCTGGTCAGTGGTTTTTCTCCGGGAACTCCAGCTTTCCTCCACTACCAAAACCTGGCACTTCTTTAAATGACCATGGCTGTTGATAGGACGTAAAACACACAAACCAAACCAAACAAACCAAAAGCACATTACTATTAACTTGCTATTTTGTATCTTACTCTATTATTTAGTATCAAACTGTACTAATTAGTTGCTTTTTGGTATCAAACTTTGCTATTTAATATCAAAGTGTAACATATAGCTGCTATTTAGTATTAAAGTATACTCTTTAGCTGCTATTTAGTTTTAAAGTATACTCTTTAGCTGCTTTTTAGTATTAAAGTATACTCTTTAGCTGCTATTTAGTTTTAAAGTATACTCTTTAGCTGCTTTTTAGTATTAAAGTATTCTCTTTAGCTGCTATTAAGTATTAAAGTATACTCTTTAGCTGCTATTTAAGGTCAAACTGTACTATTTAGCTGCTGTGTTACTTTTTCTTTATTATCTCAGATAATATTATATCTCATCTATATAACAGCCTGTCTGTCTGGATTAATAGATCACATGATACGGAAAGGAAATATTGTATACCCACATGTTTTAATTGGGCTTTGCCTTTGTGAGAAACGATTAACATGTATTTACATGTAAGCAATAAATGTACCGGTATAATACACACATAAGCAGATAAATACTACTTTGTCTCAAGATATCAGATAGTATACCCTACATGCCAGAACTCACGGCGTGAGGCAACATCTCAAGGATTTTCACCTCTGATAAAGTCTCACGGCGTAGGACATGAATTTATGGAAAGTCCTCAAGCCCTCACGTTTTTTAATGATCGATCGGTGAACCATTTTCCTGTTGTTGTTTACTCGAAGTCTTACGAGATTCAACAATGTTTTCAGCGATAAATCACGAGAGCTCTCCAGTAGCGGTCATGTTATTGGTCATGTAATCGAAGAGCTCTTCTGATAACTTCCGGAACATTTAGCTGGTTGAAATGGCCGGGTTGAAATTGTGAGTTGATTTCGGTGTCTTTTACAATAAGTAATCCATCTGAACAATTAAAATAAATTCTTATGAAAGATTTAATGTAACCCTTTCTTATTGTTGCTATACATTTCCGTGATACTACAGAATGTCTAACATTCAACCACTACCGACGGTGTCGGCTTCAGCATCAAAATTTCCCGTGAAGTTGATACAACACACTGTCAGTAGAATTATCACGAAACATGTTTTCTGTCATGTTTGTAAGGTTAAGTTCATTGGTAGAAACTTTGATAAATACTATGTCCGGCTAAGTGTTTCTTTACAAATATAATTTCACTACGAAAGTAAAAAGAACGACTGGTAAATATATAAGGGCGTGTCATGAAGAAGATGGAAAAAGTCTTTGTTCTGAATGCTGAAATATGTAATTTAAAAGTTCAAATACTGAACACAGTTTTCTTCACTTTCACAGCTGATTATTTCTGTCCTCTTGTTAAATGCATGTTTCAAGATTCTGTTACATTATCAAGAAGTTCAATTGTAAATGAACATAGACAACTATTATCCTTATTTTTACAAACCCATCCAATACATATAGTTCAAACTTTAAACTGAACATCAGTAGTACTGTGGCTGCTGTGAAAAGTGGCCTGTCCAACTAAATTTCGAAATTTAAAGTAAAATCTGCTTCTTCAGTATATCTCAACTATGTGATATTTTGTTTTGTTAACTTTGTGCTATTAAATGTATATAATCATATTGAATATATACAAAAAAAACCTGCCAAAGTCAAAACAAAGTTCCTTACTTAAAGATTTTGTGCCTTATATCATTGATTTAGTTGAGTAAGATAGTCTTTTTGCCGTGAAAAAATGCCCTGAATAAAACCTCCCTTATTTTCACCTCAATTCCCTTAAAAAGACTGTAAAACTCACAGATTGGTCTCCAAGAATTCTGGCATGTATGGTATACACTGGCATATGAATATTACATTGTCCATAAGTGTCTTACAGTAGCTGGGTATAAAAGGGGAATGTCACTTCGTCCCTTAGTATCCCGACGGTACCAAATTGTCTTTTGAGATTTGTCTGGCCGTTTTGGCAAGAGTCCGAGTAGAGATGGCCTGTTTAAATATTTATCAGTACCAATTTACCGAGGGTTTTATACCGTGTGCTACTCAAGCATTTGTGTTTTATTTAGACGCTGCGTTCCTTTTTGGCTTACACCTAGTGTGGGTATTGATTTGTTGTAATTGCTAGTCTTTTGAGAAATGAACACCGTTCATCTTCTTGGTGATCTCTGTGTAGAACAGTGGTACATGTTCCACCAATGATAAATATATAAACTCCAACACCCCTAAAACTTGTTCCTGACCAGACAGATATATTTCTATAAATCCTAGTTTTGCTGTGGGAGTTTGACAGGAGTATTTGATCTGGTCAAGTACTACATGTTTGTACAATGTGAGAGGTTCATCCATTATGTTGTGTATATCTGTCTCGGCTCATACTGCTGAATCAGAGTCTGTTCCACATTGTCGATTACTCTAATTGTGTGGAAGATTTGTGGGTCACACAGACACTTGGTCCAACCAAAATTTCCTAACCAAGAATCACTGTGATGGAGCTTAAAACTGCCATGTTTTCCTAACCTGGGGCCACAAATATAGACAGCCCTGATACACTGACCCTGGGCCACACATAGACAGCCTGGATACCCTAACACTGGGCCACACATATAGACAGCCCTGATACACTGACCCTGGGCCATACATAGACAGCCCTGATACCCTGACCTTGGGCCACACATAGACAGCTCTGATACCCTGACCCTGGGCCACACACATAGACAGCCTGGATACCCTGACCCTGTGCCACACATAGACAGCCTGGATACCCTTACCCTGGGCCATACAGACACTTGGTCCAACCAAAATGTCCTAACCAAGAATCACTGTGATGAAGCTTAAAACTGCCATGTTTTCCTAACCTGGGGCCACAAATATAGACAGCCCTGATACACTGACCCTGGGCCACACATAGACAGCCTGGCCCAGGGTCAGGGTATCAGGGCTGTCTATGTGTGGCCCATGGTTAGGGTATCAGGGCTGTCTATGTGTGGCCCAGGGTCAGGGTATCAGGGCTGTCTATGTGTGGCCCAGGGTCAGGGTATCAGGGCTGTCTATGTGTGGCCCAGTGTTAGGGTATCCAGGCTGTCTATGTGTGGCCCAGGGTCAGGGTATCCAGGCTGTCTATGTGTGTGGCCCAGGGTCAGGGTATCATAGTTGTCTATGTGTGGCCCGAGGTTAGGGTATCTGGGCTTTCTATATCTGGCCCAGGGTTAGTGTATCACGCCTCATTTGGTTTCCAGTATAAAGCTCAGTCATCACTCAGGGCCCAGTGTAATTCCCAAGCCTTATTTTGGTCCCAGTGTAAGTTTCAGTCCTCTTTTTGGTTCCAGCATAAACCTCAAGACTCACTCTGGTCTCCGTGTAAACCTTCAGTCCTCACTTTAGTCGAAGTGGAAACCTCAAGCCTCAATTTGGTACCACTGTAAACATTAAGCCTCATTTTGGTCCCTCTATGAATGTCAAGCCTCAATGCAGTCTCATTGAAACATGAGGTTTAAAAAGGGCACCACATGAGGCTTAAGGTTGACACTTGCACTCTTGGGTGTAAATCCAAACCCTCACTTTAGAGCCGGGATGCAATGATCTCATAACGATGAACATGTACTGTACCACTTACCAATAGTACAATGTTCCAAACCTAATTTGTAGTCAGACATTTATATGGAGTAACGGAGATGATGGGAAATGATGGTTGACCTCTACTTGTCAGTACTACACGTATGATGATATAGACTGGTTGAGTACGTCGCACCTCTTCATCAGCACTTTCAAATGTACAGGGAGGCTCACACTAGAAATATAGGAAAATATCAGATAAATACAGGGAAATATCGGACAGAATGAATTGACTACAAATTGATTTGGTAAATGAGATAAAATAAATGATAGGTATGGTCTACTGGTTTTAATGAATCAATGGTTACAAGGACCGGGCATCAATAAAATCGTCTGTCAGATGTATGAAAAGCGGTCCTGCTGAAATTCTTAATAAAAATATAGGGGAGGGTGGAACAAATGTTGTTCATTAGTCCCCCACCGGTTCCTTTTAGTCCTTATTTGTGCAGGTTTTGTTTTGGAACCAATCAGGAAAACAAGTTGTCCACCAGGCAGCCATCTTGGATTTTAAGAGTTCCCAAGATGGCTATTTCTCAAGAAGTTAATTATGTACAATCCTCACTTTGAAAGGACACTCTCAATCCAAGCATTATAGAAACTTTGACCAAAAGTTACCACAAGATACATTTACAATTGACAATACTATCAATCTAACAGATAAGAGAAAAGAAAAGAAATTAAGGGAAAAGATCAAATTGACATAGAACTAATAAAGATCTCATGATTATGGGTACCAGGATCGCTCTTGGATCTCTTGTTGTTGTGTTTAAGAAGACACTAATTCATCTAAAATTGAAATATTTATATTGTCCTTGTGTTTAAGGAAGTGATTATCTTAAACAATGTTGATGGTAGCATTAGATTAAATAATTCTAAATCGTATATGCAGGATGTATATGTATAAGTGTATGATTCTGAAGAGATATTATCTACGAGGGCTTGACTATTTTTTTTCATTCTGTTAAGTGGATTCCACTTTACAATAACATCAACGAAATATTATAAAATAATTGACATAACCAGATAGATGGTATAATAAGGCTTGGGTGACACTGCATCGTTTAGTGTATAAGGCCAAAACCAAAATATGTGTTTCCTGTTTCTGTTTGAGAAAAAAAATTATGGTCGGTAGCTTGGCCATTTTATTTTTATTTATTTTTTTAAATATTTTTACTATTCTTATGTAGAGCAGGAATTCTGACTTTAACAATGCTTATTACTAAATGCCAATAATAACTTTGGGTAGGCACAAACATCCAGGGTCGGTAGGGAAACCAGAAACATACACATTTTGTTTTTTGGTCTAAGGTGATCCACTATCACTGATTAGGGGTTTGGATTCTGTTACAGAAATCCCAGGTGAATTGTCTGGAGGAGGGACCTAAGAGAAATATACACCCCAATCAGATGGTGGCTCGGAAAAAGAAGAATAAGGACTGGTACAGACAGGAGGTGAGAGATATAGCAATTATCATCAGTGTTTTTTTTATTTGAACCATACATCAAATCCTATCAATATTTACAATATGGACAATACAAAAATGTACATTCTACATAATGAAAAAGGCATTTGAATTTCTAAACTTAAATAAATATGAATTGTATTATGTATAGTGGGAAACGTTCGCCCAGTCAAATATTCACCCTTCACTTGTTAAATCCATATTCATCATGTGTATCGTTTACCTTTTACATGTAATAACTACATGTGGTATATTGTGTACTAATATTTGCTGATAAATTGTGGAATTGAGGCCCTGTATGGTCCTCTTTTGGAATGAGCTCTATGAAATTAAGGCACTGTATGGTTCTCTTTTGGAATGAGCTCTGGGAAATTGAGGCCCTGTATGGTCCTCTTTTAGAATGTGCTCTGTGAAATTGAGGCCCTGTATGGTCATCTTTTGGAATGAGCTCTGTAAAATTGAGGCCCTGTATGGTCCTCTTTTAGAATGTGCTCTGTGAAATTGAGGCCCTGTATGGTCATATTTTGGAATGAGCTCTGTGAAATTGAGGCCCTGTATGGCCATCTTTTAGAATAAGCTCTGTGAAATTGAGGCCCTGTATGGTCATATTTTGGAATGAGCTCTGTGAAATTGAGGCCCTGTATTGTCATCTTTTAGAATAAGCTCTGTGAAATTGAGGCCCTGTATGGTCATCTTTTAGAATAAGCTCTGTGAAATTGAGGCCCTGTATGGTCATCTTTTAGAATAAGCTCTTTGAAATTGAGGCACTGTATGGTCATCTTTTGGAATGAGCTCTGTAAAATTGAGGCCCTGTATGGTCCTCTTTTAGAATAAGCTCTGTGCAATTGAGGCCCTGTATGGTCCTCTTTTAGAATAAGCTCTGTGCAATTGAGGCCCTGTATGGTCCTCTTTTAGAATAAGCTCTGTGCAATTGAGGCCCTGTATGGTCCTCTTTTAGAATAAGCTCTGTGCAATTGAGGCCCTGTATGGTCCTCTTTTAGAATAAGCTCTGTGAAATTGAGGCCCTGTATGGCCATCTTTTAGAATAAGCTCTGTGAAATTGAGGCCCTGTATGGTCCTTTTTTAGAATGAGCTCTGTGAAATTGAGGCCCTGTATGGTTCTCTTTTGGAATGAGCTCTATGAAATTAAGGCACTGTATGGTCCTCTTTTGGAATGAGCTCTATGAAATTAAGGCACTGTATGGTCCTCTTTTGGAATGAGCTCTATGAAATTAAGGCACTGTATGGTCCTCTTTTGGAATGAGCTCTATGAAATTAAGGCACTGTATGGTTCTCTTTTAGAATGTGCTCTGTGAAATTGAGGCCCTGTATGGTCATATTTTGGAATGAGCTCTGTGAAATTGAGGCCCTGTATGGTCATCTTTTAGAATAAGCTCTGTGAAATTGAGTCCCTGTATGGTCATCTTTTGGAATGAGCTCTGTAAAATTGAGGCCCTGTATGGTCCTCTTTTAGAATGAGCTCTGTGAAATTGAGGCCCTGTATGGTTCTCTTTTGGAATGAGCTCTGTGAAATTATGGCCCTGTATGGTTCTCTTTTGGAATGAGCTCTGTGAAATTGAGGCTTTGTATGGTTCTCTTTTGGAATGAGCTCTGTGAAATTGAGGCCCTGTATGGTCCTCTTTCAGAATGAGCTCTGTGAAGTTGAGGCCCTGTATGGTTCTATTTTGGAATGAGCGCTGTGAAATTAAGGCCCTGTATGATTCTCTTTTGGAATGATCTCTGTGAAATTATGGCCCTGTATGGTGCTGTTTTGGAATGAGCTCTGGGAAATTGAGGCCCTGGATGGTTCTCTTTTGGAATGAGCTCTGTGAAATTATGGCCCTGTATGGTCATCTTTTGGAATGAGCTCTGTGAAATTATGGCCCTGTATGGTCCTCTTTTAGAATAAGCTCTGTGAAATTGAGGCCCTGTATGGTTCTCTTTTGGAATGAGCTCTGTGAAATTGAGGCCCTGTATGGTCCTCTTTTGGAATGAGCTCTGTGAAATTGAGGCCCTGTATGGTCCTCTTTTGGAATGAGCTCTGTGAAATTGAGACCCTGTATGGTTCTATGATGTGATTTATTTACCAATTCCTGTTATAAATACCATATTTGTTCATTAGGGCTATTTATAGTTTATTTCCTTCAAAATGGTATATTTCAACCAAATAGTGATCAACAGACAATATTCACACATTTCATTATGAAAATGTGGGTTTATATCTCTCTTTGTAATGCCATATCTTCCAGACCAGTAGTCAAATGAATTTGACATTTCATATTTGCGTACTTCGTTTATTCCAGATTATGAATATAAATACTAATTCTAAATCTGCAATGAGGCCAGAAAATGCCCCTTAATGCCCCTTGTCCTTTATTCAAATGGATTATTTTGACCTATTTCCAAGGTTACGGACCTGTTAACGTTATGTTCACACCTTCAAATATGTTCTTTATAGTCAAGTTTATTGATATAAATCTCCTTTATTTACTTTGAAGAAGACAGGAGTCAGATGTGTTGAACAATATATACAACTTCCTCTAAAGAAAAATGAGGCCTATACAGTCGTTGTATTTGCTCATAAGCTTGGTAGGATGGAAGGCTATGAGCTTTGTTCAAGCAAACAAATTTGATCCACTTTCAATGTCATTTCATTCAAATGCCACTTAAAACGTGCGGTCTTCATGATTAACAAATTATACAAAACGTTCTCTGTTCATTATTATTTCCATTTAAATCCAGGAAAGTCGTGTAAACTTTGTTATTTTTGTAGATTGCATTCCTTAAAAAGTCTATGGACAGGCCAAGGATGAAATTTTCCAAAGCATTTGAATGGTATGTATTTTTTTTTTTTTCAAATTTTGTAACAAATGTACTTTACAACTAATCATTGTGAACAAACTGAGAACTATAGGCGTTAAATGCAGGAAGTGCAGTAGTGATCGTTTTTGGGACTGTCTTGAAGAATAAATTAAGTAAATTATCGCCCGCATAAGGCTTTATATTTGATTAGAAACATCTCAGGTTTTTCTTATTTGATTTCAGCACTGTCACTTGTGTCTGATTACAATGAATCGTTGAATTAATTTATTTGATGAGATAGAAAAGAAATTATTTGGTAAAATAAAGTGGCCCTTATTTCAGAGGAGCGACCCCTATGACACAGTCTGACCTCTCATTGGTTGCTCTTAGCATGAGGTTACCTCCCCTTTGTCGATTTTATTGGGTAATGAATATGTTTTATTCGTTGGATTAATGTGATTTTATTTTTGACAGTTACTGCACGCGGTGGACCCAGTATCATGAGTATGACCCATTTATTGAGCCGAGTGCAGCCCAGCCTAGCAACCCTTGGATCACAGACGACCCCACTTTGTGGGAACTCAATAAACCCTTGTAAGATACCTGTATAGTAAGCTTGTTACATGTGAATAGCGATGAAATGAAATAAGAGTAAATTGTATTATTTGTTTACTTACCGCATTTGCTGTAATTAGCGCACAGGGTGCCTAAAAGGCCTGCCATTATCACCAGACTAAGATATCTAAAGTGTCATTTATTGACTGTATGGGCCTGGTCAGGACTGAGGAGGGGGAAAGGGTCTATATCATTTCAATTCATCTTGGAAAAGGTTGAGGGGCACTTCTAGGGGGAGGGGAGGGTAGCTAATTACAGCAAATATGGTAATCCAAATGCTAGTTTCTGTGTTGTTTGTCATTCGTGTAGGGTTCCGAGTCCCACGGAATTGCGGGTAAAGAAGTGGAGTTTCAGCTTCTATGAACTTGTCTCGGATCTGACCGGATTATCAGAGTTTGAGAAGTATTTAGAAAAGGAATACAGTCAGGAAAATATACGCTTCTGGAATGAAGTAGAACAACTCAAGGATTGCCCGTATAAACAACTCAGGAACCGTATGGATCAGATCTATAAGTATGGAACTGGTGAATTGTTTTTAGAAGAAAAATTGTGATAACCATGAATAATTTTATGATATTTTAAATATAATTCAAACATGTATGGAAATAGAGTAAAATTTCATAATTTTTACTTTTTATGAAGTTTATTCAAAGCATTCCATTGAAATGTTATTCTAAAGAATTTGCAATATTGTGCAAAAAATATTAACATAATATGATGTTTTGTTTCAGAGAGTTCCTAGAGAAGGGAGCTAACTGTGAAGTTAACGTTGATTCTAAGACCATGGAACAAGTACATAAAAATTTAGAGGAAAAGTTTGGTCCTCGAAGGTTAGAGAATTGATCTATCTTCAGCTAGTTCTTCATGCATTGTTCTATTCATTGATTAGTTTTGTAGACTTTATAATTTATAAGGTTTGCTGATTACTGTAAAAACAGTAACAATTTTTATAAAAAAAAGATTGCATATTCTATATAGTCAGAAAGTGTAAATGATAATATTGCCATTGGGTTTCTTTTGTCAATAATGAATAAATTACAAATAGATAGAGATAAAACATCTTGAATTATAAGAAGTTATACAGTAGATTTATTCAAAACATCGAAAAAGACAAATGAAATGATGACCTATCTGTGTTGTAGTCGTTACGCGTTTGACCCGGCCCAGGAACATATCTATAACCTAATGAAGAAGGACAGTTATGCACGTTACTTACGATCTGACCACTACAAACAGCTGCTGACGCAGGCGAAACAACACCCCTTTACCAAGAAGAAGTGAGTACTACACTGTTTATCTATCAAGTCATTACCAACAGCCGGAGGGTTTTCAGATTAAAAGATCAGAAACGACGTTAAATGCTTTTCTGTAACTTAAAAAAGTGAAAAAAACAGCTGTATATCGGTGTTATTCCCCCAGCATATTTTCAATTTAGCTGCCTCAAAATGATTTTTTGTTTTTTGTAATAATGGAACGCATTGAGAAATCCTCACTCCTAGATATGTCACTTACCTTATATTAGCTCATAATTTAACCTCGGTTCAGTTAATAAATGACCTGGATCGGGTTTAAGGTGTGACCTTATTTGTTGTCCTCAATATTTAGCTTACCCGTTACCCCAATACTCCAGTCATTTTAAATAGGTCACCGACATACACATTGTTTGTTATCCCTAATACTGTGTCCTTGATCTGTTCATTACTGTGACCTTGGTTCAGTCAATACTGGTGACCTTGGCCTGGTAGGATAGGACTGGACACTGGTAGTGGTCAAAGGGAGGGTAAGACTGGACACACATAGTGGTCAAAGGGATGATCAGACTTGACACCAGTATAGTGGTCAAAGGGAGGATAGGACAAAACACAAGTAGTTGTCAAAGAGAGGGTAAGACTGGACACTATCAGTGGTCAAATGGAGGGTAAGACTGGACACAAGTAGTGGTCAAAAGGGAGGGTAAGACTTAACACTAGTAGTGGTCAAAGGGAGGATAGGACAAGACACAAGTAGTTGTCAAAGGGAGGGTAAGACTGGACACTATTAGTGGTCAAATGGATTGAGGGTTAGACTGGACACTATTAGTGGTCAAAGGGAGGATAGGACAAGACACAAGTAGTGGTCAAAGGGAGGGTAAGACTTGACACTAGTAGAGGTCAAAGGGAGGATAGAACTGGACACTAGTAGTGGTCAAAGGGAGGACAGGACTGGACACTAGTAGAGGTCAAAGGAAGGACAGGACTGGACAATAGTAGAGGTCAAAGGGAGGGTAAGACTGGACACTATTAGCGGTCAAAGGGAGGGTAAGACTGGACACAAGTAGTGGTCAAAGGGAGGGTAAGACTGGACACTATTAGTGGTCAAAGGGAGGATAGGACTGGGCACTAGTAGTGGTCAAAGGGAGGGTAAGACTTGACACTAGTAGAGGTCAAAGGGAGGATAGAACTGGACACTAGTAGTGGTCAAAGGGAGGACAGGACTGGACACTAGTAGAGGTCAAAGTGAGGATAAGACTGGACACTAGTAGTGGTCAAAGGGAGGGTACCGGTAATCTTAGTTGACTGGCCAGGGTTGAGTCAGCAGGTTGAGTTCTATGTGTAATCACACAGTGATGGTAACAGTAGCTGGTTGGATTAAAATCATTTAGATACCTTAGGCAATTCATCAAAATCTATATAAAAAGGAGTCGGTAAATTCTTATAAACATGATACCTATTTGCAGTGCTGCTTTCATGACTACAATAAAGTAAGGACTACATAAAGCTTACATACATGCATACATACTGTAATCATGGCTTTATAAACGCATCTTGTCTGCAAAACATTTCTATACGGGTGCATCCATATCCATATTAGGTGACGGTCCAATCACTGATATACAATTAAATTTTTATCTACAGCTTGTAAGGTGATATGCATGCTGTCATATTCAAAGATGGTGACGGTTCCCAGCAGCATGAAATTGCCTGCAGTTGCTTTAGCAGTACTATGTTATACATTTATTATATATAACTTTCGTAGAATTTAGAATATTCACAGTATACTAGTAGTATGGTGCATTGAGTTTATGACTTAAGGAGGTATGCTACCTTATTGTAATGCATTTGTTTTTCATAAGAGTTCCTAGTTGATTTACTTTATGAAGAGCAATTTCGGTTCGATTCATCCATTGATGATACTCTGATAATTCTCATAATTAGATAATTATGATATGAAAAAAAAGTTTCCAAGGGAGATAACTCAAACACATCACAAACACACTGTTATTTTGAAGGTTAGAATTTTAAAATACAAAGCACCTTTATCATATTGAAGTAAATTGATATATGTAAATAAAATGTATAGGTTTTATCTAGAGACAGTTTACCTGAAAAAACCTTAGTATACACGTTGATTGTTTAAATATAATACAGTATCGGGAGTTATTCTCACGTAAATAAAAAGATGTTATGCACCCACACTGCTAAATTAACGTTTATTTTGAGGTATGTTAGTACAATGTACCCATTGAAAGTTACTGCTTGCATGAAACGCTTAGTAGTAAATGTCCATGTATCTGTTTATATGTACACCATATTTAGTCCACATCAGTTTCCAAAAGAACATCCCGAACAATATTTAGTTTTGCTGGAACAAGATTTGTCATTATGCAGTTCTCTTTATTACTATCCAGAACATTGCTTTCCTCATTCCTGTCCGAAACCCGAATTTTCCATTTCAGCATCTAGAAAGTGAGATTATCTCTTTAAGTATCTATAAAGTGTGTTTTGCGTATTAGTGTATAATTTCGAAGTTTTCCATATCAATGTCCAGAAAGTAAGATTTCAGCATAGATGAATCATTATATTGGCAAGTATATTTTTTTTCCGTTAGTGCCCAAAATGTTCGTTAGTTACAAGTGTCTAGAAAGTTGGGTTTCTGTATTACCAACAGCTGCCAGAAAGCCACTTTTCATTATTAAGCGTCCGGAACTTAAGTTTTCAGTATTGGATCTATAATGTAAATTTTCCATGTTTGCATCAATTAAGAAAGTCTGTCTCTAGCTTAACTTTAACCTTACTCATGTACAAATGTTTAATGCGTTTTGTTGACAATATTTACAGTGGGGATTATGCAACTTTGAAAAGGATGTAAGCATTTTGGCAGCACACTTTGAGTGTGTGTCTTCACCTGTGTGTATATGTGACTTCTCATGGCTACAAAGTCTGTCCTGTGTAGCCACCTCTTGGTGGACGTTTGTCATACATTTAAAATATTTCCGTATTTTAGTTGGCTACGATGATCATAATTTCCATATTTTTTTCTCCTTAATGTCTATTGTGTGTATTTTTGCGTCATTCGGACTTGTTCCAATTTTTTTGTTACCTGATTGAAATGTTGCGTGATCTGAACTTTCTCCTGTTAGAGATTTTTGTGTCACCTCAGCAGTAATTTATTCTACAGACATGTGTGTTTTAAGATTTTGTATGACTCACCGATTTATTTTTGAATTTTTACTACATTTATCGTTGAGTTAAGTGACAATTCTTTTGTCTTGTGTGGCACAGTGATGCATTTTCATTTGATATGTTTTAGAAACACAACTGTATGACTGAAATTTGATTTTTTGTTTCCTGTGCTATTATTTTCATCATGTTTATTCATACGTTTTAACTGATACTCTGATAGATATTAAATTTCTATAAATCTTTACATTTAGATATAAGAAAAAGTGACATTGATACCTAAAAAGGAACATATTAGAATATTATTTCTTTAAATAAACGTGCATTTTAAAACTTAAATACAAGATGTTTCCAGCAAACAAGCTCATAATGTCAGACCAAAATGACCTGTGGCCTTGAATTTTATGAGAAATATTCATATCAGGTGATCATGTTTTATTTGAATTCTAGTCATTTCGGTACCAGGTTGTTTCGGTACTTCAGAGTTGGATGTTTTGGTACTTTTTGTAAAGACGAAAAATGCTGAAGAATCTGAAAAACAAAACCAGCAACACACAAAAAGAAAAGGGCATGCAAAGATGAAAAGTTAGTCAAAGTGTCGAAAATCATATGAAATATTGTAACAGCTTTTGGAAGTCAAAAGTGTCTTAAACATGACTTAAACATCTGAGTACCGAAACAATTGTATACCGCTTTATTTTCAGGTATATATCCACCTGTTCATAGTTCAGATGAATAACATCAGGGGGATATCGTGACTGTTTCACCTGTTATTTGGGTGATCACTCTCCTGATATGAACACTGTAAAAGAGAAAATTCTCATGCGTGGAAATGTTCGGGTTGTGACTCAATCAATTGATTGCAGAGTGGATATTATTGCATTGCCAGTGATTCTGAAACTTGCATATTCTATGAATATGTTTTATGAATGAATATTTGCATGTTGATATATTGGCACTAATTTACACAACACGAAAAATGTGAGCTTTTCCATGCTGCGAAAATTTCCACTTTAACAGTAATGACTTGCGTGTTAATAATATGGTAATCAGGGGTCAACATGATAGGTCGTTGTGGTCTGACTATATGTATTTATAAATCCTGTCAGTTTGAGATTCTTCCACCGTTCTGGTATTGCCTATAGTCACATCATGGGAATGATGTCCTAATATGTGAAGGATAAATCACATACAAATATTTACGAGAGAAAAAGGTCAGATAAAAATTCATTCCAACAGGAAAGTAAATTTGGATCTTTTAACTGCTGCTCATCACTGCGGTCGCTTTATGTTAAATGTTTGTGTAGATCTGTAATGATTTAGATGATGTCAGAGTAACTGGTTACAGTAATCAAGGTCAAAGTCCTCGGTGACGTCAGAATAACTGGTTACAGTAATCAAGGTCAAAGTCGCAGGTGACTTGTATGTAGAGACTATTATACTAAGCAAACGAGGTCCAACATCCGTATCCAAACTTTCCAAATGTTCTGGTGGTCTCCAGCGGATGGATTCCTAAGGGAATACACGAGTTCCAGCAGAAGAGTAATGAAAATTCAGGTAGAAATGTCTAGGCAACATCCGACAGAATGTTAGTCGGCAATATTTAATATGGTTAACATGTACAGGTTCTGAAGACGGCATACCTAGTGTGCCGAAACATGTTAACTGTAATAAATGTTACTGGTTAACCTTCCGTCGGATATTGTCTGACCATTTCTACCTTAATCGTAGAGGCTAATTATAGCTATTGGTGAGACCTTTGACCTTTTGGTGTTGTACAGTCACAGAGCAAAGTCAGTAGACAGTTAACGAGACATCGCACTTGATATTCACTGTATAGACACCTGTAGTTTATGACACTACATAATTTATTGGTAGTTTTCTGCTTTTATAGAAACACTATAATACCGGTGAAATTTCCTTCAATTTTCCAAAGTTCCTGACCTTTTTCTTTGTGAAGATGTCATGACATTTCAAAGAATCGCAATTATCACATTTCATGTTTGATACTAGCATTATGACTTGAAAATATAGCCAAGATTTGGCAGTGAATATATTCCAGTAAGCCCCAGAAAGCTATCACGAATTCAAACGTGACTGTTTATTTAATACCAATGGTAGTCACTTTTCTAAGAAAGGGATAACAATATTATTGTTCATTTAGTTTTGGGTCTTGAAATAACAATTGTGTTAATGCATATATGTATATATATTTATGAGAATAAGTTGATTTTTAGGTCACCTGAGACAAAGTCTCAAGTGACCTATTGCGATCGCCTTTTGTCCGTCGTCGTCCGTCGTCCGTCGTGCGTCCGTAAACAATTTACATTTTCGACTTCTTCTCCAAAACCCCTGAACCAATTTCAATGAAATTTTGCAGGGACCTTCCATGGACAAAGGTCAACAAAA